AAAATCTCTACAGCAACCGCGACGTAATGAGTGAATGATGGTCTTCCCTTTCCCATTACCAGATTCAGCGACCTGTGAAGACAGTAAACGATGAATACATGCGCAATAGCAGCAAAAACGAGGGAAGATAAGAACAGCTCTTTGGTCACTGCTGTGAGGCCGGCAAATGGGCAGCCGAGGTTTTCGTCCAAAACGTGGACTTGAAAGTTAAACGCAGCAACTAAGGTGGAAATATAGGGAACATTGGCCAATGTGTTCTCCAATGATTCAGTGAGAAGCAACTCTGCAACTTGGTAAAAATAAAAGACGATCCTCATATAACCATACTCCGATTCTTCAGCTTCGTGCAGAGATGAACGTCCCTCCATCTCGAATGGGGTCTGTCGATTTGTTTTAAACCACAGAATTTGACGTTTCAAATACAGAACGAGCGGAGGCTTCTTCAATAAATAAATGGTAAACAATACGGTGTAAAGTCCCATAAGAATCCAAAGATAATTCCATCTGCATTTGTGGGATTGTCGACATTCTGACGAGAAAAGCGTTTCCGAGTATCCTGTGGCACATCTCCCACACAGGATACCGGACCTGAAGTCACGGCAACTGTTGTAGTCATTACCGTGATATATATCTTGGCGTTGAGGACGACAATACTCCCATGGGCAAGGTACGAACTTCAATGACGAAATGTTACTAGCGTTGGTGATTTTGTAACCCCAGAAGTTGGGCTTTGCCAGAATGTTGTTGGGTCCATGGCAGTGGGCACCAAATGGACAGCTTTGACATCTGAAGCCTTTGCTGACTTCTAGTCCTTTAGAGAAACCACGTTGAAGACTGTACCTTTGATAGGGACACATTCTGCACTTAAATAACTCAGTTGTTAAATTGATTGGACAAAACTGTCTATCATCTCCTCCGTAGTAAATAAAATGAGAGAAATTGTAGAAGACGAGTTCGCTGCCAACTTCACATTGGATTGTTGAGCTGGAGTCCATCTCGAAGTAGCCTCCAGATGATATATATAGAACATGCCCGTCCAGAGATCTGTTGCCCATACCGGAGTGAAAAGAGGTGTTGAGTATTTTTAACGGACCTCCACTCTCTGAATACAAAAATCTGCTGAAAGTAAACGTAATCCCTCGGAACTCCTCTTTTTGTTTCGTCCGTTTAAACACGCAGCTGTTAAACTCAACTTTGGCGCTTCCCAATCCAATATAAATCTGTCCTGTCTTTCCCGAGGAAAAGTTGTTAATGAACTTGCATTTTCGAAATTTAACATAGCCATTGATGATCTGAACAGCCCCTGCCATGTGTCCAAGGTTATTTTGAAACAAGGTATCCTCGAGCAAGACGTGACTGGAGTATTTCCACGTGCGATGGGTATCGTTTGTCACACCAATATCGACACATCCTCTATTCTCTATTTCATCCGTATGGAAAAGGAACATGAGTGCCCCTTGGCTGTTCATATAAGTGGGCATGTGTTTGTAATATGTTCTCGTCCATTCGTCTATTTCAAGACCAAACCCTTCTCGAAACAAGCAACGGCGAATCTTGATCGTGTGGTTACCCTTGGAGAAGAACGCAAACGAATTGCTAGGCCTGCTTTTGAAGGTCACATCTTCTATTTCAATTGCTGCTTGAGAAAAATTTGCCCTCTCCAAACGAGGTATAATAAGACGGATACCAAAAGAGGTGTTCTCGTACCTCTGTACTTCTTTACCGTCAAACAGTGTGTTTCTCACCCGAAAGTCGATATTAATGGTGTTGTTAAATACTCCAGATATGTCGTAAGTGTTATTCTGGAATTTGCAGCCTTCAATAGTAACATTTAGATGAAAATTGTTTTTATTTTGCGGGTCCCAGGGGAAGATTCTCAAACCATTCAGCGAAGAAGACACGGTTACGTTGACTAAAGCTAAATAAAAATTAGGAGTTAAGCTTAGAGCCGTTCGATTGTTTTTGACAAAAGATGTATTAGAAATTGTAACAGTTCCAAAATGACTTTCGCTTCCCGCAACTCTAAAGATTGCCGCATACATTACTTTATTCCCTGATTGGTATGCATTGTTATTGTGAAAACTGGATTCGTGAACTCTGACTAAAACTGTTCCATTTATCCTTCCAAAGATTGTTAAACACGTAACCTGATCATTATCCTTACACTGTAAACGATGAAATGTTACTTTGGCTTTCTGCACTATTGAATAGTAAAGGCTACGAGACTTCCTCTGAGAGAAAGCGAAGCTGTTCCGCTCGAGGACGACGTCATCGTACTTCTCTGACGTACTAGCTGTGGGGAGGTCGATCGCTAGAAAATGGCCGCCGCTGTCAGTGACCTTTACCTTTGCAACAGTGATAGACAGATCAATCTTGCGAGAAATATTACTTTTTAATACAAGAGCACCCCTGTAAAAGGCTTTGAAGTAATCTAAAATCCCATTGTTCAGGAATTTAGTGTCCTCGATATCTAAAGAGAATTTCAAGTTTGTCTCAGAGCCTCCAAAAAATTGTATTTTCGCGCAAAGAGAGTTGTTTTGAAAGAGAGAACCTCGAATGGTGACATTTGCTATTGAGCTAGCTGTAGTGTTAATAATGACAGCTTCAGTGGCGTTCTGATGGGTGCAGTTGATAAGCGTGATTTCAAAACAGTCTATAAATCTCAGGGGTGTTTCAAAGAATGTTATTCCAGTTAAAGTGACTCGTAGATCTTGGTCTGACCGATTAAAACAAAACCCTGTCAGGCATTGTATATGGGCTCGAGTAAAGTCTAAACTAGTTATCGTTACGTTCCTTGTAATTTGCGGAATGCCACGATAATGCAACGTAAGTAGTTTCTTACAGCCGAACGGTTGCTGGTCTGTCCCGTTCCCATTAAGGACAATGGTTCCACCTGACGCAACTCGCAATGCTGCCACTGCTATTGTTCGGCATGGTGCTTCCATGGCCCCGCATGCCTCCGTGTCATTTCCAAATAATGAAACGTGGACAATTTGTCGGTGTGACACAAAACAATCTGCAAACACAGGTGGGTAAGATATATTTATAAAAAGTCATCGCCTAGAGAGTAAGCACGGAAATAGACTTTTAAATGGTCGATTTCATATCAATCCCTGTAAGGAGTTCTAGTGCTGAGTAAATTTCCTTTCCGATTTTCAGTTTCTATCGCGAGAAAAGCAGTCGAAGTGAAATTTGAGTTGAGTTGAAAAACATATATATTTTTAGAATTTCAAGTCCGAAGTCCCTGAAATAAGCAGAAGTTCGAAATAGCACTAGCGTAGGCTGCTGAGTAAATAATTTCCTTTTCAATTTTCAGTTTCTATTGCGAGGAAAACAGTTGGAGTGAATACAATGTGTTAGGTTCGTTCGCTGATTCGCGCTGAATTCTTTGCGGCTTATTCGAGGACACAAACAGAAACCGTCGCAACGGCTCAATTTCTATAAAATTACTCGGATTGCCACAGCGAAAACGGGGGCCTCTCGAGAAGACTGGGTACGAGATACGATCACTGGTTTCCATTTACAGTTTGAATTTACTGCTTCGCTACGTGTACACGGTTCTCTAACTTCAATTTGTATTTTTTCTTTGTTCCGCGAAAAATAAAATCTCTAAGCTCCCTAGATTTGACCGCAACCGTCCATTTACGGCTAGTCTGTAAGACTGAAGGAATAGGTTTAATTTTTTTCAGTAATACTTAAGATCTGTGTGATGAAATTTCCGTTTCCTATACAGGTTCAAAACTTCAGTGAGCGTAAACCAACCATCAAAATTAAAACTCAAGGCAATTTTTTTTGTGTTTATCATAGAGTGAACTTCTTCTAAATCCGCATAATAATTAAACTCTGAGGATGTCTACGGAAAGGTTTCGAGATCACTGTTAGAAAATGGTCCCGTTTTATGTTGAAATGGCCTCATTTAGACAATTAACCTGATGGTTTCCTTAAAATGTGTGAACTTTAGAAATCCAAGGAAGGTGAATTACAACAAGTTGAGTTAAGTCAAGTTACTTGTGGTTAATTTATTAATTCCATAATGTTCGATCAACGGATTCGTGGAAGATCCGCTCAGATGAAAAAAAAAAAACCCTTACAACAAATCACAAAATATTGTACCGAAATTTGAAATGGAATTTTGCAACCACACCGCTCTTCCACACCGCAGACGTTTACCATCATAACATTTCTATCGTAAGTCATTTTTAATACATGAGGGCATGCACATAAAAACTTACCTGCACAAAGGAAGATCATGACCAGGGGAAGACGATACGATAACAGCCAAAGGCTTGCCATCGAGAAATCAACTATATCTGAACTGCAACAGTCACTTATTTTCCACAGCCCTGCTTAAGCAGTACTAACAAGGAAATTTTCAGTGTCAAAATATTTCAATTCCGTTAGAAAATGAAATAATGTGGGCCTTCATTCAAGGGACACCCATGGGACAAGAAAAAGTGACCCCTGGATGATGTTTTTTTTCTAAGCCGCGACCGTATTATATTATATGGAAACTATTAAAATTTTGGAGGTAGAACATGTTTGCGGCACCAATTTAGTGACTAGTGAGCAGCGGTTATGGTTAAAGTTATGATGTTTTTTATAACTTATGGTCAAAGTAAGATACGCATCTTCGCATAATTTAATTCCCAGGCTCCGTTGTTTTGTTTCCGCACTAGAGAATTCTAATCAATTTCTCCGTTTTTTCGCTATTAATTTCCTACCACAAACCTAGATTTTCATCATGGCCCCGTGAGAGCATTTATTTGTTGTTGTTTTTTTTAACGTTCGCGCATGACTCTTTGGAACAAATGCTAAAAAGTGATGACTAACTGAAAATATAAATTCATTTTCCTCAGCATTCCCGCGTTCCCCGCTTACATCTCTATTTTATAGGGCCATTTAGCTGTTCGTGTATTCATTTAAATGCATTTACTACTATTTTCGGCTTTACTTAAGATACACATCAGAAAAAATAAAAATTTAAAAAGGCGGGGAACAAGTTGCTTAAACTTTTCAAAGTTTAATCATCATTTATTGTTCCCTAATTTTACCTCTACTAACAAGTTTCATCTCACGGGTTTGAAAACTTGCAAAAGCACTGTAAAGTTTTACTTTCGCGGGCATCTAAAGATGAATTTGCCTATCAAATACGTCCAACTTAAACACATAAAAAACTTACAAGAAGTGTTCAACGCAAGGAAATTTTCCTAAGAGCATTTTGAACTAAGGTTACTTAGGTAATCTTACTTTTACAGCTTCGTAGTCAGTTTTTCGATAACATGGTTTCCATTGGCCATCCTCCTCGTTGGGGCACTTGAACTCGACTAGAAGCCCCAAATTATAGAAATAGTTGTCATAAAATATTCACATTCTTCAATTTGACTTCATCGACAGCAACAATAACAAATAATTCTGAAAAAGCTGAAGTTTCTTTAGATGAGTAAAAATTTTTTCTCGAGTTGCCGAGTGCAAACAGTTGCATGAAGAACTCATTACTTGATAGATTGTGTCAATAATCGCCTCTTTCATCGAAGCTAAAATCATCTTGAATGTTTTGTCTCTGGTAGTCCAGAAGAGGGTCTGTTACAAGAACATTATTAGGGCTAAAGAACCGAATGACTTTTTTGACGAGTTTAACGGCCAGACGCACTAGCAGCGACAGTGCTGCAAAGATAGCAAGCAGAGCCAACAAGGCCGGGACAAAACCCAAGACGCCAATTTGGAACCATTGCATGCACTCGATGTAAAGCCTGTTTTCTCCCACAGCAGCGGTCCCAGAGGACAAAAGAGTGGCCTGTGTGAGGTTTATGATTGCCATGATGGACAGCACAACCAAGGACACCGATTCCACTCTGTTGGCTGAGGTATGTTGGAAAGGTTTTCTGACAAAATGATGGATCGCCATGAGCTCGCAAGCTACAGCCAAGAAGAGAACACGCAACATGGCGTTTGGGATGAAAGAGTGAATTGAAAGAAGGATTAGACGACGACCAATTAAAACACTCTCCCAGTGCAGCGTCCCTTGATCTTCTTCATTAGGAGGACGAAATGGCCCTTGCAAAACTTTAATGATTTCCCCTGCTCCATCGTCATCGTTTGGCCTCATTGCAGAATCCTCTCTTCTCTTCTTGCAAAAGTGCATGTATAACCAGTAAGCAAGGAATGGCAAAGGTACTACACAAGCCGCCAGAAAGGTTCTTGCAGAAATGGACGACTTATGAAGCTTTTTAGAGCCATAGTAGAGAACTGCGATAAAGGGCACCACAAAGATCACGCTATAGCCAAGAAGAACATATTGCCATGATCGCCAACAAACAGTGTTTCCATCGATGAATAACCGGTGCTCAGATCCTATGGGAACACAATGCATCAAGTTCAGGGAGGTTTCGGCGAGCCTGTCGTAGCCTAGCAACAAAATCTCCAAGATAGCAGCCATGTAATGATGCACTGATGGAATCCTCTTTTTTCGCACCATGTTAACAACAAAATGGACGCAGTAGATGAGGACAACATTCCCCATTGTAGTAAAAACAGCCAAAGAAAGAAAGAGCTGTTTTGTCACTGCAGTCAATCCGACAAAAGGACAGCCAATACCTTTGTAAATAGAGTCAACTTGAAAGTTGTATGCAGATGAGACAATGTTCACGAATGGGAGTTCGTGTAGCTTTTCCGCGAGTGAGTCATCCACGAACAAGTCAGCAACTTGGTAATAATAGAATACGATTTTTAAGTATCCACTGTCTGTCTCTTCATCATTCACTTGACCTCTTTGCTCCCTGGCCTCATTGTGCTCTCTGTTTTTCATAAACCAGAAGATCTGCCGCAAACTTAAGAATTGCAAGAATGGTGGCTTAGTCAGTAGATATAGTGCCATTCCAGCCGAGAACAGAATGACCACCAACCATAGGAAATAGTCACTGCATTGACTCATTTTACGACAGCTCGTGGTAAATAGCGACTCTGTATATCCCGAAGCGCATTTGCCACAGAGATATCCAGTCCTGTTTCCACGGCAACTGTTATAGTCAGCGGATTTCCTGCTAGGGGATTGACAGTAGTTGTTAGGACATGGAATAAACTTCAACGATGGTGAAGGATGTGAGTTTCTCATTTCGTATCCCCAGAAGTTTGCTTTGGCTGCGATGTTGATATCATTTCTCATGCAAGTTGCGCCTAACGGACAAGGGTGGCACTCAAACGAGTTATTCACAGAAAAACCGTTTGCCTTCCCGGTTTCAAGACTGTAGTAACCGGAGGAACACAGTTTGCAGGCATACCTAATTACTGTAACGTTGACTCTGCAGAATCGTTTCCTCTTCTCTGTGTAAGCAAAGTGTGACGCATTTTCAAATGTCAGCATACTCCCCTTGCTGCACTGTATTGTTGTGTTGTAATCGATGTCCACATAACCTCCGCTAAAGATTTCAAGAACATAGTGCGACTTCCTTTCTGGAATGGTCGAGATCATTGTCGTGTTTCGAAAGACAATAGGCCCTTCACTTTCGGAATAGAAGAACGCAGCATTTTTTAAGTTGTTGTTGTCGATAACTTTATTGTTCTGTCTGCTTGAGAAAGAACATTGTTTGAATTCTACTCTGCCTGTTCCATAGGCAGAATACACCTGCCCTCTTTTCCGAATCGAAAAATTATTTTGAAAAGAACAGTTTCTAAATGTTGTGTTTCCATTACTGATATACACAGCGCCTGCGAAAAACCCAGCATTCTCTAGGAATAATGTATCTTCGATGGACACTTGGCTTTCGTATCGCCACAGAGGGTGGGTGTTGTTAATATCGTCTTGTTGCACGCATCCTAGTTTCCAGGGTTTATCAGGAATGGAGAGGATCGAGACAGCTCCTGTTGATGTCTCGTAGATGTAAGTGTTTTTTCCAAAGTTCAAGTGCTGTCTACTAAGAGCAGTGCAGTATCGAAATACTGTTCGACGTATTGTTAGTGTTTTATTTCCCTTAAAATATAGCACAAAGATACTGGACGGCCGAGAGTGAAAAGTTACTCTGTCTAGTTCAATGGCAGCAACGCTGGAGGAATTCGTGTTCTTCAAAGGTGGAACAAAGAGGCCAATTGCGTAGCCTTTTTTATCACCGTGATTTGGCCGACCTGTCATGATAGAGTCAATAACTTTTAAAAAAACTGATCGCGGATTGCTAATATTTAATGATAAGTCGTAGACATTATGCTTGAATCTGCAACTGGCGATGGAAATGTTGACACGGAATGGATCTGTTTCCTGACTCAGCCATCTTTTGGACAACTGCAGTCCGTACTTACACGAGGCTACTGTGACGTTTTCAAGTCTGATTTTGCATTTAGGCGTGATATCTAGAGCGCCTTCCGTATTGTTAGTCATGGTAGTATCTTTGACCGTGACGATTCCTCTCTGTTTTCCAAATATCTGGACCCCAACAAAAGCACTTTGATTGGATTTTCCACCAACAAATGAAGATCGAACGATCGTTACATTCGTGTTGCCTCCCGTTGTTCCGATGTAAACAGCACTCTCCGCATTTTGTCGTGTGTTGGTCCAATTGAACTCGTCCAAAATGATCAGTCCGCTATGGAGCGTGAGGCAAAAGCTTCCAAATCGATACTTCAGTTTATGGCTGACGCAGTTTTCCACATTGACTTTTTTAAGTGAGGCATAGAAAGCGTATGTCAATGGTTTTGACTGCGGCTTGTGCGTTTTCCCGATCAGAATAGCAGAACCGTCCGTGGTAGCAACGCAATCAGTGAAGTTAACATTGGTAAAACTCAGCCTTATGTTTCCCAATGTCGCACGGCGATCAACGTTGAGGTAAACAGCTCCACCGGCGTTAGCTTTGTTTCTTTTAAACACGGTATTAGTCACAACTAAAGATGCATGCTTTTTTGATTCAAGGGAGATAGCACCACCATTGCCTTTGCTCGCATTTTGCCCGACAAAAGCGGAATTATCTATGGAAACTTTTGCCTCGTCTGAATAAATCTTTATACATCTTAGAGCTTGGTCGTTCTTGTTGTTAGCACAGTGTACGTGTGTGAACGTTACGTCGACTTTCCTTGTTCGAGATATATACATGCTATCTTTAAAGCGTCTGCTCTTCTTACTGAAGGGCGTTTTCAAGTTGTTGTCCACCAGTTCAATGTGGCTGTATGTCTCCTTGGTCACTGCTGCTCCAAGGTCCAAAACAACAAATGGAACCCAGTTACCAACACAGCTGATTTTGAAGCATGAAAGTTTAACAGCTGCTGACAGACTTGCGCTTTTCCCTGCAACTTTCGTCATGGAAATTATACCCGTCGCTAATTGTTGTCCATCAATGCCGTTTGCTATAAATTTTGTTTGGCTGATACTCGCATAGAGAACGCTGGAATTGTGCAATAAGATTTCCACACAATTATAATTGTTTGTAAATAGAGAAGGACCCTGGATATCGAAAGTGACGCTAGAGGCGTTTAGTGCACGAACACTAACAGCGGTTTTAGATTCTCGATGAGAACAGTTTATGAGATGAATTCGACCACAGTCTTGAAAATTTATAGGAGTTCCCTTGAATACAATTCCAGACAAAGTCACCATCATTTTGAATTTCGAGCGATTCTCCGTAGGTTCACCTTCAAAGTGGATTCCTTCCGCGCACGACACATGTGGGGTGGATTGAAAACCTTTCATTGTTACACTCCTTTTGAGATAAAGTCCCGGAAGATAATTACGCGCCATCCGATTGGTACAGTTAAATGGTTTTTCATCGGTTCCTGTCCCATTCAGGTGTATAAATCCGCCCGGGGCTATGAGGGAGAATGCTTGCGATATTGACTGACAAGGTTCATCGATAGAGCCGCAGTTTTCTGTATCTCGTCCTGAAAGCGAGACATAGATATTTCTGGATGCTTGGCCTTGGGTATCTGAAAGTTTAACAACTGTTTAGTATCCATGGCTAGGAGACATTAACTATTTTGAGGGATGTTGTCGTTGTAATGCAATTGCAAAGTATACAAAAGTATTCAGCCACTTCGCCACGTGGTCGGTTCACTATAAGCCATTTCACAGTAAAAGAAGCGAAAAGCAAGTTTATCTTTATGTGTCATGATTGGATATGAAAGATGGCAAATTTCGATCTCAGTCCTTCAAATAAAAGAAGATGGTAAACACTTAACCCACACTCGTGAAAAATGCCAAGTTTCTTTATTTTATTTGGTCGAATGACTCATTTCATTTTCGACCGCGAAAACATATTATAAATTGGTTGAATGATCAATTTATTTTGATTGAGGTTTTCACCTGTGCTTATATTCATTCGTATCTATCAAAGCACGAATTTGAATTTTCGCCTCCTCCACCCCCTTAAGTTTTAAATTCCAGGGAAGAACCGGACAATTCTCGGAAATTTTGAAGAATCTTGACAAAGAAAGAACTTTAGTTGAGAAAGCCAGAGAGCGGGCTTTCCAAATGAGGAGGTTTGCGGTTTCTGGAATAAATTACTCAAGCGGAATGAAGATTTGAAACTTTCCATTATTGCTTGATGCTGTAATGCGGTTGCATTTACTAACGAGCTTTTATACATGTATACCGATTTTGTATGTATTTGTACAGATTTAAAAATTCACAAAAATTTTATAAATACATTTCCCAAACAAAATGCATTTAAAATAGAATTCCAAGAAAAAAGTGAATTATATGTTGAACCATCAAATAAGGTGTATTTATTTACTATAGAAACTTAGATAATTTATTTTAATGAGGAGCACAGATGTGTTTTTGTCGTATCTCCTGAAATGTTTTTTTTTTCTCAAGGGCCGATTTCCAATATCTGATCGAGGACTGTTTCTATTGTGTCTAAAAGGTTGTTTACAATCGCTGTAATATTTTCATAGATAAATGACTCGTTTTAAAAAATTGTTCGTCGACACCTTAACAGATAATCATAGAATGATTTTAGGCCTCTCGGGTCATACAAAGCCCCCCTTCCCCCAGTTATATAATTTAAGCAGGGGTTTTAATAATTTTTCCGTTAGCAGCTACCGATGGTGCAAATAGGCGACTTTAGCCGAAGAAAGGGCCGTAAGACAAAACCCAAACACCTGAGCCTGCTTGCAAGCCATACAGACGGCGGTAAGAGCTCTCATACCCGCCATAAGTTCTCTCCACGCTCGGTTTCTCAACGAAATTACCCAAATATAACACCTTGAACGCTTCTTTAATTTTAAAACGCGATTGATCAGAGATTTCAAAAAATTCGAAAAAATGTAAATACGGTATATCTGATAAATAACTATGTTCTTCCAAGTTCCTGACACCAAAAAAACCAAAAACCAAAAACTTATCTTATTTGTTCCCTTAAAATCGAGGAAACTTCAACTAACCTGCACAGATGCTAGGAAGGACAAAGAGTTGAAATAAACAAGATAACAGCGGAATGAACGCCATGGACGAAGCCGACAGACTTAGCCACATTTCAGTTAGGATCCAAAATGCCGTCCTTTGCTGAATGGGAAAATTTCATGTGACGCCGTCTTTTATGAAGTTATCTGCTGGAAAACGAAAGGGTATATCTGTTGGTTCTCTTGTGCAGGAAAATGAAATAAATCTAACAGAATTTAAACTACTGGTACCTGGCAATTTGTAAAAGACTGGTCTCTTCGCCTCTTGACATTAGCGAAATTCGACAAAACCCTCGCGACTTGGAAACTTTCTGAATTTTTATTTTGTAAAACTAACGTGAAATTGAATTTCAGATTCTACTTATTTGGAAACAATTTTCCAAGAAACTGAAAATAGAGGTCATTGTGTCAGAAAGAAATAATTAAAATTAGCCTTGACAGTTATTTCCGAGAAATCTTTTTTCTTTCTGGGAATCCCCTCTCTTTCCAAGAAGGCTAAATATTAATTGTGTGAAAATTCAAAGACCCTATTTGGCAAGGCAATCAGTAAGAGCAAAAAAATTCGCCAAATATCGTTCTGTTCCATTAAAATTCGTCAATTCGATGGCGTACAACACTTTACTATAGAATTAATTTTTTACAACGGCAAACCATCCTTTCAGTAAATGTTGCAAGTAATAAAACAACATGTCAGTTTTATCACAAAGAGAGTTTCGTTGCCATTGACAACTGTCAGGAATGTTCAGTCAAAATAATCGCGTCAGAGGAAATTAGCATTCAGGCAGGTGGACGCAAAAATTTATTTTCTTTAGCTCTCATCCGTCAGGTAAACTTCCCGTTCTATCGAAATCGCTTCTACCCTCGCTTGATTATTTTCCACTGCAGATGGGTCTCCAAGAATCAAACAAGAATAACGCGAAGCATTCCCACTTAAAAATTATTTATGCCAGCAGACGGTCTTTTATCCTTTTGAAAATGTAAATTTCTTGTCATGTCAAGTTACGACTAAGTCTTCATGGTGAACTGTTGAAATAGTGTACTTTCTGTCTTTTTGGCGAAGGTTTAATGAAAGTCAACTTTAAAGGCTTATCTAAAGCGGTCAGTGTAAAACGAAGACTGCGGACTGCAGACCGCGGACTACAGACCGTCTGCAGTCCGCGGTCTGCAGTCCGGTCGGACCGGGAGTAAAATGCAGACTGTGGGTTAAATACAGACTGAAGACTGCAGACCAGACTCAGTTCTAAAACAACCCGCTTCCCCGGAAAAACTTCAAGAGTGAGCCGGGCTTTAGGCCGCGTAAGTCGTGAGAAGCTGACAACAATCGTCATGGCGACTGGTGTTTCGAACTCTATTTCCTCAGATGGTTTTGGCGTTGACATATTGTTTTAAGGTAAAACGGTTAGAAACGTAAGTGTTTGAATATGTTGATCACAGCCAACTAAATACATATCCTTTGTTGAGGAAAAACAGTTCTACTGAGCAACATTAAAGAAACATGTAGCTCATGTATACTTTGTTCGGCCTTAAAAGTAGTAGCGATAGACTTTCATCACACATCAGCAACTACCAGTTACAAGTAAGACACAAGACTGTTGAATTTAATTCTTTCATTGGCTAAGCAGAATCGACTAACAGTGTAATTGCATGACTGTGCGTTACAGTTGGGCTACGATTTTGCCCTTTGTAATTAAGTGACTGTGCGCTACAATTAGGCTACGATTTCACTTAGTTTTTTCAGTTTTTTTCCATTAAAATTCGTCAATTCGATGGCGTACAACACTTAACTATAGAATTAATTTTTTACAACGGCAAACCATCCTTTCAGTAAATGTTGCAAGTAATAAAACAACATGTCAGTTTTATCACAAAGATCAACTGATATCAAAATAATCGCGTCAAGTTCAGGCAGGTTTTAATATTCTTTTTCAACCGTCAGTTATAAACGGCTTGATTATTTTCCACTGCAGATGGGTCTCCAAGAATCAAACAAGAATAACGCGAAGCATTCACCCCCAGCAGACGGTCTTTTATCCTTTTGAAAATGTAAATTTCTTGTCATATCAAGTTACGACTAAGTCTTCATGGTGAACAAATAGTGTACTTTCTGTCTGGTAATACATATTTACAAATTATAAAGACACACAACATCTGCAAGTGTGAAAGAGTCACTGATGTGTATCAAATGCAAACTTCAAATACTGTGAACAATCTTAATCTAGGAATAGCATTTTGCCTCGTTTGTTGATTAAATAATACACTTAAGAACTAAAGAGAAACTAAGGAAGAGGGGACTTAAAATTTGCTGTTCATTTTCCATCTGATGGGAATTTATCGTAGCCGACGTCGACCTTTCAACCGTACCAAATTATTCCGTCAGACTCTAAGCTCTAAACAGCGGTAAATGCAAACCAAAAGTGACAAATTTTGTTCTACATTTTCAATTTTTGGTAAAATAAAAATATACTGAAACCTCGAGTCCCATCTGCTGGTCCCTCGGAAATTGTCCCTTTATTTTTCATTTCACACATACTGTGCATGCATTGCGATAGAATTCGGCGGAAATCAGGTTGCTCCAAATGACCTCGTAAAATTTCGTCATGCGGTATCCAAAAATTGGAAACAGTTCCAACGTTGTCAAAAGAGTAATCGCGTTTAAAATCACATTAAAAAAAAAACAACAACAACAAAAAATTTCACAGTCTGCACAGTCTAGATCTGCAGTCTGCGTTTTATCATGACCGCACGCAAGCTGGGATCATCGGCAACCTTCCAGCTTGGGCAAGAATGTATCATGACAAAATTACATAAAAATGCCTTGAAGTACTTCACTAACCATTAGGTTAAATTTTAAGATTATGTAGGAGCACCAAACATCGTTTTACTTATCTTACAGATCTGACCGACATAACATAATAACGTACTCCGGCCAACAGTCGTAACGGTTGATATGAATCACACAAAATTCGATGTAAATTTCAGAACTGCAAACAACATATACAGAACTTTGCACACCTGAATATAGAACGAAATTTGAACCGCGACGAAACAAGAGAACCGAAACCGAAAGTAAATACGAAAGCTTACTTCGCACTTCCCTGCCAAAAAGTAATGAAAAACTTTGAGAAAGAAAGCGGCTACGTAAATACCTACTTACATAAGGTATTACTCTACGATGTTACAGCTCATGATGTGAGCCCTAGGTAGTTTCATAAGTGAACACTCATGGTTCGACAAGATGCTGCAAGACCGACGTCAATATTTCAAAATACATCTCACCGTTTAACTCGCTCTCTCCGTCTCCGACAACAGTTTTAGTAGCTCCAACTCAAGTTGTTGTTGTGTTGTTAGACTGTTATCAGTTTTCTCTTTCAGTAATTTTATTATCCGGCACAGCTTGAGCTTAAACGAAACGAGTCTGAATTCAATAACCCAGTCGTCGCTACCGAGGAAACATATAAATGATGTGTCAGCGCAAAGTCCGAATGTAATTATGGTTTAATGTCGCTGCGAGGAACCTGTTTCTTATATCGCTTGAGAGGTTTTTACCCACTATTCATTACGATAAAAGCTGACGTCTGCGGGAATGGCAAGGCATAGCGTGACCGAGATAAGTTGTGGACGTAGCTAGTAAGGTGAATAACAATTAGCCTACGAGTATTTTGTCCTTATTTGGCGAGTAAAAAAAAAAAAAAAAAAACCATGTAAGCGCACAGCGCGAAACTCCCAAAGTTCTGAGCAGCGTGGTATCATCATTACCTTCTTTCCCGCATTATTTTTGAGTCGCGCGTTTGGAGGATCACCTGGTTTTCAGGGAGAACAGTCGTATCCAGAAAAGTTTAAAGGTGAACTAAAATATTTTGACTGCCAATGGGGGGGGAGGGGAGGAATCATTTGAATACTACGGAGCATTATGGGGGATCAGGCAAATTCCATTGTGACACAACCAAAGCCTCCAACACCCAAGTAGATCCTTAGAGATTGTGCTAATAGAAAAGAAAGAAAAGAAACACAAAGCAATCCAAATGTTGTATTCATTGCTAATAACATAACCATATTTTCGATTCTTTATCGTAAGTTACACATTTATTCTGCTAAAACAGAACTAACTACTGTTATTTTGTGGCCTGTGAAAATAGACTGAACCATGGATCAATCTTTGAGACCAAGCAATTCATGGCTGTGCTTATGTTCCCTTCAAAAACTAAAATATGCTGATTAGGCTAGCAGTGCTACTTTTAATAAAAAGTGCTAAGATCATGCTGGCTTTTACAAATAATTCCAAAAAATAAGCTAGCACAATCTGTAAGGGCCAATACCCAAGGGCAATTTATAAGACAAAAGACATTTTCAAAAAAATCAACCTTTTGGAAGGGTTTCAGTCTCCATTTGCACTCTGTACTGAGTTAATTATAATATTGTTCCTCGTAAAAATTGCTCAAAAAGTGACTCTTGAAGGAGTTATTCATTTCATTTACTCCTTATTGGCCTTCCACTTGAGACAGTACAGTTACTCTGGTCTCATTCAACCCTAAGAGTAGTTCAAGGTTTTTTTGTCTCTAGGTTCCATGGGCGCTACGTTATATACGAGATGCACGGGATACAGGAAAGCAAATGGGTGAATAAAATGATAAAATAAAGCCACTGTGTTTATTTATTTTAGTTTGCTTCAGTCTTTTTGTTTCTTCATGACGGAAAGCGGTGCGGCGTGTGGCGCTGTTGGTACGTCATGTAAGGAGTGAAGCGTACAAGCACCCAATCCTCTCTCTTGAGAAGAATAACAAGATGGCGGCCGAACCATCGGAAACTCAATTAGGTCTTTCGTGGCATGATAGTGCGTGGATTCCGGTTCTCAATCCTGATAATGTTTTGGAATATTTTTCACAAAGAACGAACCCCTTTTATGATCGCACATGCAATAATGAAGTCGTTAAAATGCAGCGACTCGACCCGTCAACCTTGTCGTAAGTATGGAAGTAATTTCTCGTGTAAAGTAAGAGGTATGATCATATCGGAGGGTAGATCTGAAAAGAGTCGTTATTGACGGAAATGTCTGACGTTTCGATAAACTAACGAATCCTCAGCATCAGTCTACCAAAAGCAGTCTTTTTAGAATTACCTCCTACTTTTGGATTCAAACGTACCATTCTTGAAATTAAAGGTTCGTAGATTTTTATCAGAATGAGAGACGACAATTTTCAATGGTTAAACTGTAAAATGGAGATTCAGTTTTTATTACGTCTGCCGACCTTTGCGATGTAATATTCTACTTTCACGTGGACCGTAAATGTACGTGTAAATTTAGATAATTCTTTCTTTGTTGATGCAAGAAAGGCATATTTTTTTTATTTATTGCACTATATAAGGTGTGAACGTCGCCTGGACATACTCAACCCACAGCAGCTTACTTTTCAGAGGAAATTTTTAAGGAAGTGAACCTAGGGCTGATGATGTGGGATAATTAAGTTCACATACTGAGATGAACTTGGTGTGATCTGGCAAAGTTCACCCTGGTTGTTGGGTTGGAATGTTCTTGGTTAAAATTTCTGATATAATTTTTAAAATATTGCATTCTTTTACAGAACAATAATTCAATACTTGCATTCTTAGCTTGCCTCTTATTATGATTTTATGAGAATAATAAAAAAAATCAAAGGAAGAAGTGCAATATCAATGCCAGTATGTGAGCAATATCATGCCTACCCCTCCCCTGCCCCAACATCAGCCCAAACCTATCAACAGTTGACTGTTGTTGTGTTAACCCTTTTACTTCCATGAGTGATTAAGACAGAGTTACTCCTTTCAATATCAATGCAATATCAACCAGATAAGTGATGAGAATAAATAAAAATATCAATTTGGGGTTAATTAGTTGATTCAATACTAAATTCTCTAAACTAACATTATAAGAATTGTGTGGTTGACAATAAGGAGAATTACATATTTGATCTGGGAGTGAAAGGGTTAAGGGAGGGGTACATGCGCAGTTACTCACATACTGACATTGATCTTGAGTGCTGAGGTGGGATCATGGGAAGTGAACTAGCCCAATTTACTAAACTTGTAGTCAATGGGGTTCATTGTGGCTGTTATCCTACTGCTTTTAAAAATCATGTATTAACTGTGAATGCTTTGTGGATTTGCACATGCTTAGTCAAATTGTCGTTATTAAATTAGTTTACTTTTGTTTTCTTAAAGTACCATGACAGGAATTGAATACGTAGTTCTTCATGTTCAAGATCCAATCCTATATGTCATTAGAAAACAACACAGAATTTCCCCAACTCAAGGTATCTTAATTTGTAATACACTGGTTAAGATCTCTTTTTCAATATACTGGTCATGTATACAATTTAGTGGTAGACTGATTATCACATGCATGATGAAATATAAAACTGCTACAAATTCTGATTCACTGCTAGATTCTCCCTTCAAAATGGTTTGTGTTCCCATGTGAAATGGAGAGAGAAGGTCGGTTAATCCCCTTGACCTTGTCTCAGGGATTATTCAGCGATATTTATCTGGCTTTCGGTGAATAATTGTCTAAGGAAATGTTTAGTGGCTTTGGGAGAGAATTCACAATTAGATCTTGGGAATGAAAGGCTAACCATGTGTTGCGGTGTAACGATTGCCATTTATCATAAAAGTAACCAAAATTATAGTGTTCAAGTAAGGTGTAGTTGTTGAGAGGTTTGGGTGCAATACCTGGCCTGCTCATTCTGCTGTGTTCATTGGTTGGACACTGTTCTCTCACAGTGCCTCTCTGGAGGCACCCAGGAGTATAAATGGGTACCAGTGAAGGGAGTGTTGACCTGTACTGGAACAGAATCCCACCCTGGTGGAGAGAGACCAGGATAAGTATTAGCTCCTAATGGGGCCCCTCTGCTTAAGTGCAGATTCTAACCCTTTCTTTGATTGCCTGTTTGCAGTTACTCCACTTGCAGATTACTACATGTTGGCAGGAGTGGTTTACCAAGCACCCGATCTTTGCTCAGTCATAAATTCCAGACTGGTTAGTAAAAAGTGATTAGACTTGTTAACTGATGAAGCCTTTTTTCTTTCTTATAATATCATCCTCCTAAGAGTGGAAAATGTTTTGCTCTCAAAGAAATGTCAATAAACATTGAGTAAAGCTATAAAGCTATTAGGCCATTGTTGACTTTTTATAGGCTTTCTCTTTGCTAAAACTTTTTGCTCCCAAGATTTCATTAGTTATTTGCCTTACAGTCTGCTATAGTCAAATTATATCATGTAAGTTTGAAGAATTTGGTATTGGATCAACTAATTATCCCTTATTTGTAATTTTCACTATTTTTATTCTTATCACTTGTTTGCTTGATATTGTGTGGAGAAATTCTTTATTCTGTTGGCTGAAAATTAAGTTCTGTTCTTACTTTGTTTTACCTCCTCACATATCAGAAATATTCTTGGCCAACAGCTCTAGAAACACATGCAATTTGTAAATACAAACTACAAACCATCATTTGTTTTTGATTTTAGATGGTTTTGGGAGTAGGGTGTCTTGGAACAGGGGGGGGGGATTTTACCCCCCATTTCCTCACATTTTAGCCTTGACTGAAGCCTTTAAGCTTTTATACCAAGCAAAATCATCAGTCTGAAAGTGTTGTTTTATGCTTCCCCAGCTGTCTACCTTGCACCACATACAAGCAGCTTTTGATGAAGGTGAATGTTGTATGAGTAAAATATTCAAGAATACATGGAAATTTCTGACTCTTAGTCAATAGAGACAGTCAATGTGTCATTTATTTTGCCTTATACAGCTTTATTAACAGTTAGCAATGTCCAAGGTAAATAGCAATTCAGTGATGTAAGGGATCAGGGCTGATGGAAAAGGGAAGGGGTCAGTATTTGAGGAGTGAGTTCTGGGCAAGGAATGAAATGATACGAGGGGTTTAATTGAGAATTAAAGGTGTGGGAGTGGCAATTGTTGGAAGGGGACTTGGAATTCAGGGGTGGGGAGTTGGATTTGAGGGGAGAGGATGGGAATTTTAGGGGTGGGAAGTGGGCATTGAGGGGTGGGCAGTGGGTATTGAGGGGTGGGTAGTGGGTATTGAGGGGTGGGTAGTGGGCATTGAGGGGTGGGAAGTGGGTATGAGGAGTGAGAGGTGAAACTTGAGTTAAACCATTGCAAGCATTAAACAACATGCTTGTTTGAGACTTGCACAAGATGTAGCTCTTGTTGTTATCATTAAATGTTGGCTGGTTCAAAGAAAGTGTTTAGAGTGACTGAGTTCAAAATTTTTTTGGTTATAAACAGCGTCATCGTACTCCAGGTATCATCCATCGAAAGGTTACTGGTGGGAGTTTAAAGATAAACAACAGAAACATTTGACAGGTGAGCCTTTCAAGTACCAAGCTGAAAAAATAATCTCTGATAAGAAGTGACGAGTTTATACTCAGAAAATGACGTTGTTTGGTTAAAGTTTTGCATCTGATTGGTTGGGAGAATGTTGGGAGTTTTCTGGACCAATCACAGTGCAAAATAAGCAAAACAATGCCATCCCAGATTACTTTCCACACCTCATTGACATTTGCTCAAAAGCGCGGGAAAAAGCGAGTGACCAAAGCAATCGTAGATTACGTTTGCCTTTCAATTGAAAATTGCTCTTTGTATCCCTTGGCTCAAATTATTAGCTAACTTCCTTGTTGTACAATACTTGTTTACTCTGTTTTTTTGTTTTTTTTTACTGTAGCTTCTAAACGGAACCAAAGTAACAAGAATAAGACGGCGAGGGATCCCGATAAAGAGCCTAGTTCACAGTTTCAACGGGAAGGTGTTCACATGTTGCTTGGGGAACTTTCAAGAAAGTTTCCACCACAGTTTCTTCAAGGCCAGACTTCCACAGGTAATCAAAACGCAATTATTAAGGCTTACACGCTGACGCAAATGATTTGATGTGAAGGATATACACAAAATCGAAGTACAGTATAAACAATTTCGAGGTAATTCCACAGTTCTTATGTGCAGGTGCCTTCGTTTTATACCACATCACGAGAGAGAAATCTCTAATCCCTGTAGAATTCCTTTGAGTTGTATCCTGTACATTGCCCTGAAAAACCTCCAACGATGTATTGGTTCCTAGGGCATCCTTGGGGTGTCCCTCTTGGTTAGAAACGCTTTTGTTTTACGTGAAGAGCCTTTAACGCCCTTTGATTGATCGAGAAAACTCGTGCCACCCTTTCAACCAATCAGATGCAAAGCTGAAACCATTTGCGTAACTTGAGGCCGGTCACGTGTTTTTTGAGTTCCCATAATTTACCTACCTTTGCTTTGATTGGCTATTGCTGTTGGAGTCTCATGACACAATCGAAAAGCGCTCTTGATGATACCTGAACAGAGGTATCCAGTGAAATTGGCTCAAAAATTCAAAATGGCATTAAATCTTATGGGATGTGTAGGTAGAAAGCTACATACTCAAACTACTTTCCTTCAAGACGCTTTGCATTTAGAATAATTCCAGTGAAGCTAACTACGACAAGAGATATCTTCAAAGGGAAAATATCATTTGAACCTTTTTATTTGTTGTTTTGTTTTCATCCAGGCCAAGTCAAGAAGAACGGAGACAAAAATTCTAATGACGACAGTGAATCGAAAGAGGCAGATTCTTCAGCATCTGCAGAACCGCTTCCAAATGGTGCTACTGTGACCGGGGGCTTAGGCACCAACGTGTCACGTGGTTCTCTTAACTCGCATCAGGCCATCAAGAGAACAGCGAGTACTGATTCCTCCACAAAACCACCCCCAGGCAAGAAAAAGAAAATTTAAACCAACTTGAGAACTTGAAAAGTAGGAATATTACTAAAAGATACAAGAAACTGCAGACTTATCTTGAAAACATTAAAGAAAATCTGGCAGACTCCAAAAGTAAGCAAGTTGTTCCATGAGCACAGTCCCTTCTTAACCTGACAGGCTCGTTCTCGGGCAAACACTAAACACAGGAGTAAACAGGTGGAATATTGGGAGAGTGGCCTGGGCGCAAGCGTGGGATGATAACCCTGCAGTGGAATCACATTTCACCAAAGAGGGTCCCATTGTCTAAAACAGGACAACCGCACTTGTCCACAACAAGGAGTAATAGAGACAAAAGCAACCAAATACCAATGGGTTGTGTCGCATCTGCTAGGAATTAGTTATGTATAAATGTTGATAAAATAAATTGAATCCAGAAACAGATCGCAGTTGATCCTCTCTTGCTTTAACCTGGATCAGTCCACAGTGACACCCCACACACTACCCCCGCCCCTCCCCCCTCCGGCATCTTTGCAAATATTCTTTATTGTCCTGTATAAATTTCACAGGTGCTGTTGTTGTTGTTGTTGTTGTTTTTTAATTAACATTGGCGTTCTTAGCTGGAATGTTGTTACTATAAAATTACTTTCTTATCAATGTTTTCATCATACTTTCAGTATATTTCCTTAATTCAATATGCACAAAAATATATTTTACTAGTTGGAACTCACAAACTACAGAAGCACTCACTACAAAACGAAAAAGTGTTTCACAGTAGTGTTACTATCACTGGTCCTGCATTCCCATAATTACAGTCCCTATTTATACTCTAATTCAGATGACAAAAAAAAAATACAAGTTAACAGGAGGAAAGTACCATGGATTATGACCGAAGGGAAGTTAAGAGGTACGCCAACACCAACAGCGAGGACTAGGCTCTAATAATTCACTTCCTCCCCTAAAGCCAGTATTAAGAAGAAAAGTTCAAAGTCGGAGATTTTTTCCTTTCGCATTTGCAGTGAATTTGTAGCTCTTAATGTACGTGATGGTAATTTTTTTTTTCTGGTTTATACTTATTTTTCACTATTTTTAATTTCCTAAAGGTGCCTACATATAGCTAGTAATGTTCACAGAAAAAGCAGACCAGAGCGTAAGATTGAAGTAAAAGGAAAAAGTAATCATTATGAAAGCTTGGTCTGGTAATCTCAGCAAACATCAGTGTTGACTAAAATCGTGAATGGCGTTCAAAAAATAGAAGCGGGAAAAACAGTTAACTCTTTACGCGCCTCTCGCGTCGGTTCTGACAATTTTCGTGTGGAGAGTATCCTTAGGTATTAGTACTTTTTTGTTTGTTTTCTCTACAATATTTTTTAACCACGGATTCGGATAATTTATTTTTTTACATTAAAATTTACTAAACAATGTCGCTTTGAAAGAAACGAAAAAGAATGATTATTCATCCTATTGTTCATCTTAAATCAATCATCCTCAATCCTTTTCAAATCTTTCAATTCACATTTTGGGAATATTTTCTGTAAATTACGAATGTTCTACTATTCCTCAAGTTGAAGGTAATTTTTCCTTGGCCGAGTGCAACTCCAGAGAGCGTGACACCCTTTGAGAATCAAGCAAAGCCACGTTTTCAAAAATAGTCAACTCTTACAAAGTACTACGGCCTACTCCGAACTCGTTCACTCCTATTATCAATCAGTTAACTCTCCTTTCTCACTACTATATATTCTGTTGAAAACTAGTTCTGAGAATTTGCAAGGCGAGGTAAGAGTAAGATGATGGTGGTTATAGAAGACTTTGCCATTTCCGTCCCTTCACACCAGCAAGTGGTACACCTCAACCGTGTTTCGCTCGCACCTCCTGCATATGCTTGGTGTGTTGCTGAACAATTTCCTCCACAACTGAAGGATCCGCTAAGGTGGAAACGTCGCCCAGTTCATCGGGTTTATTCTGGGCTACCTTCCTCAAAATACGACGCATTATCTTTCCAGACCGGGTCTTTGGAAGACCAGACACAACCTAAGGAAAAGAAAACCGGGTTCGATTAAAGAGAGGTAATATATGTTAGTTTCCAGGCCACCCTCCGGAATATCAGATTGAAATGGTAAACAATAGCTCGGTAAGAAAATCGGAAGTGAAAGTTTTTACAACAGACTATCCTTTGAATCCTTTCAAATTTCCAAACTGCAAGACGCCAAATAGAGTACCGACGCTTCCGATATGCTTCGTACGTAACGAATTCCAAGAATCATAACAGCTCGCTGAGAAACCCAATCGGCAATTACAATCGGAGTCAGGTGCGGGGAAATATACAACAAGTGTCAGTGGCGGGAAATCATGAAGATTAGAACAGGTGCCAACCAGAGAATTAATGAAGGTGAAAAAAGGAAAAAAAAAAAAAGCCGCAACCGGCGTCACAAAGCAGTGAAATGGGTAACGAGTCCAAGCATGGAAAATTCGTTAACGATGCCAAGGACGGAAACTCGTAACCCTTTCCAAGGGTGGAAAAGCACTTAAACTATTCCAAGCGTTCTGAATCAGACCCTCGTCAAATTCGGTTACTTACACACTTGCTTAATTAGTATGCTAAGCACGAAAAAAAATTAAGCGGTACCCCCTCCCCCCCTAAAAAAAAGGTAAAAGATGTTGAGGGTTCAAGGCGCAACCGGCACTAATAAATCCCCCACGTTCTAAATTTCAGAGACGAAGAGTCGCGTCTCAAACACAAATTAAAATCAGAGAAGAATTACCTGAATGACTTCTGGGACAGCAAAGGAACCTATCTTCTCTCGGACGATGGCTTTCAGTTCTTTTCTTAAATCTTCCGCAGAAATTGTGGCGTCGTCCTTTAGTGTTGCATACGCATAAATACCTAGCAAAAACACCAACCAAATATACAGCTGTTTGTCTCTTAACAAGCCAAGGTGATATAAATGAAGTGATCTAAACAAGGTGATATAAATAGCTTGCCCGGGAACAGTTCGCCGAGAAAGAGGTTAATTCTTTGAGATTGAGTGGCCTATGATTTCCATTGAGATCTTCCCCCCCCCCACCCCCTCCCCCCCTTCCCAAGTTTCTGTCACATGATGCGACTAGAATTAGGTCGACTTCTCCTGGGTGGAGGAAAAAAAAAATTCAACCAGTCCATTACATTTGTAGGAACTTGAAACCTTAACATTCTCTTAAATTGAAAGTAAAACCTTGGTCAGTTTACTATTTCTAAAGAATGTCACACTGAGATACTAAGAAACCGACCTTCTCCTTTCACAGGATGTGGAAATCCAACGACAGCAGTTTCAGCGACTGATTTGTGATAATCCTGGAGAAAAAGTGAATAAAAATAATTTGGTAATGAGAAATAGTAAACATAACATGCATAAAGAAGGCAGATTTTAGGCAGTGACTAATGTCGCGTTAAACAGAGATGATTTTCATCAAATAAGAAATCTAGAGAAATGACTTTTGTGGGTTAACATTGGAATCGATCAAATCTCACAATTTTAAAACAATCATTGCTTACCATGGCGTCTTCGATTTCTGCTGTTCCCAGGCGCTTGCCACTGACGTTGATGACGTCATCCATCCTTCCCGTAATTCTGTAGTCTCCGTCCTTGTCTCGTAAAGCACCGTCACCGGTAAAATAAAATCCTGAAAACGGGTAAAATTGGTGACCAACAAGGTATTGCACTGACCGTCAGCGAAACCAAAGGCCAATCAAAATTCGAGCCTAAAATGTTTGTCTTCATCTGTCTATACCTCTGTGTCTTCTAAGGCAAACATGAAAACTACCTTAAAATTGAAAGAGGCTTAAAAAACTTAGTTAAGTTTAGCAGATAAGGGCAAAGATGCAATGAAAATCCAAAAAGGATCAAGGATGGCAGAGGCTGAAGAAGATTAACAAAGATCACCCACGAGTAAATTGAAAATGAAGCAAAGTTTCTGAAGAGAAACAGACCGTAACGTAGTTACTGCAACCGGTATGCAGCGCGGGAAAACATGCGAACGGTGCGTAAGGCGGGAAAATGGACTGCCAGGTCTTAGACGTGGGCCGGAAACAGCCGATGCAAAACGCTCGAAAATTAGATAAGCGTATTTTAATAACCGAATAAGCTGTTCGATCTGAACACTGCAGTAAAGCATAACAACCAGATTTCGTTTCCTTACTTAACTACATAATACTTTTTTGATATCAGTATTTACATTACAAAGAGCATACCTTTGAAAGGATTGTAATAGGTGTCTAGAAACCGCTGATGATGACCATATATGGTGCGAGACATACTGGGAATCGATGTACGTATACACAAGGCGCCTTTCACGTCGTTTCCAGTCAGCTCTCGACCCTGTGACAGTCATTGAACAGACATTGAATTGAAATTTTAAGAGAATAGCAAGGACAGGGATGGCAATGACAGGAAATAGCAAAGACTGAATCCCTTATTCGTTCAGTTTTCACTGCTGTATAAGAAACTCCCAATCCATCGTTTGATATGATGTTATTCTACCCCAGAGCCGTTTCTAACATTAACGGAGATTGGATTAGACAGGAGTTTAAATAATGTTTTCCATAAGCGACTGCTGATGATGTAATAGGCGGCTATGCCAGGAAAATGGGCCGTAAAGCAAAACCTAAACACGAGAGTAAGCTTGTAGGCTACACAGACGGCGGTGAGAGGTCTTCTAGGATAGAGGCACCCAAGGTTAGGGTGAGGGTTAGGTTGCATTGTGTGCAAAAGGTTTTAAGTGTCGAGAGACAATATATACTTTGCAGAGAGACTATGAGTAGTCCCTCCTTTCTGGCGAAGATAAAAAAATCAGAGAAAAAAATTGATAGTAGTGAGCTGCGCGGAACTCTAGGAGTGAGGCTCAGAGTTCTGCGCGGCGTAGTAACCACTCTAAGTTAATTCGCTGATTCTTTTTTTCCTAACTCACACGACGGACTTTGCCGAAAAGGAGGGAATACTCGTAGCCTAATTTCGCAGACTAATCTATCGACGATTTACTTCCAATACCTTCTCATCCAGTAGGACAGGTTCCACTCCAAAGAAAGGTCTGGTGGGAAATTCCGGTTTGAGGGGTGAATCATCTGGTGCAGGTCTGGGAGATAGGAGAATACCACCGGTCTCTGCAAGACAAAAAACAAAACAAGACGTTTCAAAAATGGTTTACCTGATAATTACGCATAAACTAGCTTCTTATTTATTTCTTATCGTTCGTCTATGCATAAAAAGCCTCGGCCATAGAAAGAGATTGCCCTTCTGGAAACACATACTTCCCAGATACTACTGTAGTTGAGGGGCTACTTCCAACTGAGCTGCGAGCAGAGATAACTTTAGTAGGTTCTTAATTCTCGCACGTGAATCTGATCACAATTAATTGAAATAAGTGAAGAACACGGTAAACTTAATGAAGTGTATTCTCAC